GCAAGACTTGGCGCCAATGGACGAAGGCAACGGTGAAAAGCAAGTGAAGTCAAGATCGATGAACCAATATGATCACGTGATGATATAAAGTGGGTCATATCATTGTTGATCATGTTGGTGCATGTGTTGCATCGACATTGGAGGAGATGGAATGGAATGCGCAAGGCAAACGTATAACCTAGGGCATTTCATTTCACCGGTCATAGGTGTGTAGAGAAGTTGATGACCGGGTTTAGGATAGATGGCCGTACTATCAAGAGGGGCAAACTTCTTTGCATATCGGTCATCTAGTGCCACTCGTGTGATCTAACTTTGCATCGTCGCTAGGATCGAGTGGCGTGGCAAGTTGAGTGGCTAATCCTTTGGAAAATAATTGTGAAAATGCTAACACACATACACATGGTGGTGTTGGCACATTTACAAAGGAGATGAAGTTGGAGTTGTTGTAGATCAACTCGGCGTTGAAACGGAGACGAGAAGGGTTTGAAACTTCACCGGCGGAGTGTCCGCCCGTAGAGTGCGGACAGTCCAACTGTACCACTGGCGCCCTGTACAGAAAAGATAGGGTTTCGCATAACTGATCGGACGCTGGCCTCGGTAGGACCGGCGCGTCCGGTCAGTGGCAGCAGTGAGCGTGCGGTCTCGGTCTCGTGACCGGACTCTGGCGCGAAGAATGACCAGATCCTCAGGGTCTGCGTCCGGTCAGTGCGGTCGCGCTAGTGTGGCAGCGCACAGAAGAGACAGTGAGTGATCGAACGCTGAGCGAGTCCGGTCGGGGTGATTGGACGCGTCCGGTCATGAGTGGAACCTTACTGGAAGTGACCGGATGCCGGGGTCCTGCGTCCGGTCATACACTGTGCTACGTCCGGTCGCAACTTAACCATTGAGATCGGGCGCTCAGTATTTGAAGCGATGGATGACATGGCAGCTATCCGTTGACCGAACGATGGCAGGGTGTGTCCAGTCGATACGACCGGAGCGTCCGGTCGTCCCGAGTTTTGCCCAGTGAAGCGGTAACGACTAGTTTAGCCCGTGGAGCTATAAATAGAAGGTGGTCTCGGCCATGGCTGGTGCGGAACACCTCGGGGGACTTTGTGTCCATGCTTGAGAGTGCTTAGGAGCCCTCCATCTCATATATGCTTGATAGTAATCATCCAATTATGCGAGAGAGTGATTCTAGTGCGATTGCATCGTGAGGTTGCATCGAGTGGCACTAGGTGATCGAGTTGCAAGCCGGTGGTGCTTGTTACTCTTGGAGGTTGCCACCTCCTAGACGGCTTGGTGGTGGTCTCCGTCGAAGCCCGCAAGAAGCTTCTGCGGTGCTCCGGAGAAGAGCTTTGTGAGAGGTATTGTGCTCGCCCCGCGAGAGCCGCGAAGTGCAACTCTAGTAAAGCGTGTCATTGAGCTACCCTCACTTTCGGGGTAGGTTCTTGTGGTGCCTGACGTGCGGGCTTGCGGGTGATGCCAATTAGCCGCCGAATCACCAAGTGAGCTGTCGACACAACGGGGACTAGCATGTTGGCAAGCACGTGAACCTCGGGAGAAAAATCATCGTGTCATCTTTGTATTTCCGTTGGTTTGCATTCTCGTTACACAAGCTTGTATTTACATTTCATATATATTGTGCTTGTGTAGTTGCTCTTGTAATTAGTTAACTTGTGTAGCTCACTAGTTACCTTCTTGCTTGTGTAGCATAGAAGTAGCTCCCTTGCGTGACTAATTTGGTTTGTGTAACCTTGTTAGTCATATTGCTTAGTTTGTGTAGCTAAGTATTTACGCTCTCTAATTTGGCATTGGTTGCCTTGTTATTAAGCATTGCTAGTGAGCTTAGTTGGCTTTGTGCTTTTGCTTACTAGCATGTGTAGGAGCTTCCTCGTTGCTTGAAATACTAGTGGCATAGGTTTGTGTGACCTTGCTCCTAAAATTGGATAGGTGAGTTCTAGCCAGCCCGACACCTTTGTTGCCTAACTAGGATCTTTATAAGATGCTTGTGAACTTTGATAGAGGGATGTAGTCTTGGTTAGACCGAATTGTTTTAATTCCGCATTTGTTTCGGTTAGTCGACGCGATTAATTTTAGAAATGACTATTCACCTCCCCTCTAGTTGCCATCTCGATCTTACAACATGCACAGATCTTCCAGAGATATCGAAGGACCAAACGTCGCATGTGGCCTTCCCCAACGCTGCTACTTTACTAGTAGCCCCAGGTGTCATATAGAATCGGATAAAAAAAGTAGGTGATTTATAATTGTCATAGTGGTTTATAGATGCTATATATGCTTGAGGAGAGAGAATGTAGTCCATGCTAAAAAAGAAGAGAGAGGAAATAAAGATGAGGCATGATGAAAAAAAAAGTTTCTATGCAAACCACAAGTAGTGGTAGTTTGCCAGGGCCGTGGCGACGGGTGTGCAAGCCGTGCGTTCGTACAGGGCCCCAAATTCCAAGAGGCCCTAAAAATTATGGCGCATTAAGCCCTGCTGACTTTCAGATTACTCCTGATGCTGCGTCTCTTCCTATATCTCGCTACCTGAATCGATCTACGTCGATCTGTCTTCCTGGCTCTCCCGTAGTCTCATCCTGGCTTCCCCGTGTCTCCCGTCTTCATGATCAAGCAAGCCGACACATGGCATCCATCTACAGCAATCCGTCTCCCCGGCTCTCCCATCCTAGCTTCACTGTCTCTCCATCTTCGTGATCAAGCAAGTTGTAAGCCGGATGGAGAGGCCAGCGCCCAGATGTAGGTCACAAGGGGTAAATTCTCGATTCCTAAAACCTGAACTCATGGAAGATAATTATCTAATTGACTAATTATCTTATATTTATCAATACAAATATTTCTTTATGTTAATGAATAATTACCCGTTGCTATAAGTAGATGTAGAACTGTTGTATTGCGTAAAACGGTCGATGGTGCATACACTCACATCCGATAAAAAAATATAAATTACTACTCTCTCTCTCTCTCTCTTGCTTGCGAGGATCACAAATTACTACTCAACAAGTGAAAATAAGTCTTTTTTATTTCAATTCTGTTAAATAATTTAAAGAACACTAAGAGAATGATATTGTGTTCAAATAAAAATTATGCAATCACAAAATAAATAGGTATGATTTTTTATTTATCGCATTGCTATGTATGCATATATTATTTTATTTTTTAAGGCCAGTAGGGCCTCTTTTAGAGTTTGGAACACACTACTACAAAAACAAATTTGCGCAGCGTTGCGATAACGCTCTCCGTGGCGGGCTCCTATTTTTGCCCGCTACGGTAAATCCCATGATTTACCGCGGCGGGTATTTTTTATTTACTGAGGCGGGCACTTTTGCCCGCCACGGTAAATCGATGTACCATGACGGGCATCCTATAAAGCCCGCCTCGGTTAAGGCCGAGGCCCAATAGGCCCAGGGCGAGGCCCGTAGCGGGTACTGGTATAAAATAAGCACTTAGGGTTTCAGTCCTCTTACCTCTCATCCCCAGGCGCCGCTCCCACCTCGCGACCCGCGACGCACGCACTCCCTCCGTCGCCAGCATGAAGGCCTCTCCCACTCCCTCTCTCTCTCTCTCTCTCTCTCCCTCTCCCACTCCCTCTCTCTCTCCCTCACCGGCGTGTGAAGGCCTCTCCGCGGCGCAGGGACAAGCGAGGTCGCGCGTGCCACCACCTCTCCGTCGCGCGCGCCGCCGGCGTGTGAAGGCCTCTCCGCGACGCAGCATCGAGCAAGGTCGCGCGCGCCACCACCTCTCCGTCGCACGCGCCACCACGCGGGTCTAGGACCGTGATCGGATCTGGCGAGGAGAGCGCCGCCGTGCCCGGTATCTCTCTCCCACCCTCTCTCTCCTCTCAGTACCTCCCTCATCTCTCTCTCTCTCTCTCGTAGGTGAGGAGCTGCGTGGCGCGCAGGGACGGGTGATCCACACGGCGGCGGATCCAGGCGGCCGCGTCGACTCCCTGCGACGTGGATCCACACGGCAGCGGATCCAAGGCGGCCACGTCTACTCCCTGCTCCCACGACGTGGATCCACACGGCGACGACACGGATCCACGGCGAGACAGCCCCAACCTGCGGCAATGGCGCAGATCCTGCGAGGATGACCTCCCCGGCGGCAGATCCGGCAAGGTGGAGACCCCGGCGGCGGATCCAGCGAGGTGCGGTGGCGCCAGTATTGGGTTGTGAATGGGCTCATCGGTGGGCTCGAGAATGGGCTCGCCGGCGGGTTCCTGGGTTTTTTTTTTGTTTTTTTGAAACGTTTAACAGCGGCGGGCATCCTAACGTGCCCGCCGCGGTAAATCGGTTAACCGCGGCGGGCACCGCGGTTAAGCCACGATTTACCGTGGCCTCTAGGCCGCGGCGGACGGCTTTGCCCGCCGCGGGAAACCAAAAACGGCCGCCTCTAGTAAAGTTTGTGTAGTAGTGACAAAGCCTCGAATTTTGATGGCATGACGTCGTAGTTTGCATTGTGTAAATAGTAGTCTCAAGATTTCTTAGTGTATGTGGATCACTTTATTTGTTCTAAAACCTTTAAGACTGTTAGTCTCCATTGGACGTGCCCTGAATAGATCAAGAATTATGGGCGACTGATCGACATATAGGAAAAGTGAAAAAAAAACTACAGAAAACATGGGAATAATAGAAGATGAGAAAAAGGTAGGAAAAGGGTGAGGATCTTACCAAATCCAGGCCACGCATCAACACAAGATGTTCAATATGGAGTCCGATACGGCTGCCTAGCGGAGTTCCGAGGCGAGGACTCGAAGCCTCGAACCAAACAAGCCTCAGGTCTCGAGTCATGACCACTCTCTGGCACCCTGCTGCTCAGGCAAAACCTTCCATACGAGCCCTAACCAAAGCCCTTCGAAGTTTGAAATGCGACAAAGCAGAACGAGAGACGATTCCGGTCCCGGAACCTGTAACTGTATTGTATTGATTGATGACACCAGCATAACATTTGCACCAAACACGGATACACTACCGAAGAAAAACACACACGCACGCATGCTATCAATTCAAGTGCGCTTTCGTCCCCGGCGTCGTCTGCCCCGCCGGCCACTTGATCGGCGGCGGGTACGCGAGCCCCCCGCGGTAGAGCAGATCGGTCATCGCCCCGTACGCGTGCTGCGTCGGGTGCACGCCGTCCCAGCTCACGTACCGGTCCCGGTCCGCGCACACGGCCGTCCCGGGCGCCCCGCAGAACCTGCTCTCGTCGAAGCCGTACGCCGCGGCTTCTTCCCCGGCCCCGCAGCACGCCGTGCGCGTCCTCGCCGGGTCGAACCCGCGCGCGCGCGCCTCGCGGAGCACCCTGGCGTACGCCGCGAAGTAGTCCGCGTACGCGACCACGGCGCGCGGGTGCGCCCGCTGCAGGCCCGCGACGGCGCTCCGCAGCCGCGCGTTGTACAGCTCCGCGAACGCGTTGAGGACGGCCAGGCAGCCGCCCGCGTCGTACGCGGCCAGCTCTGTCACGTTCGCCCCGGCGAGGTAGACCGGCACGCACCCGATCGGGAAGTTGCCGGCGATCACCACCCGGACCGCGCCCATCTCCAGCAACTCCTGAGGTGAGGTGATTGTTGGGAGTTTGCGACACGAGAATTGGTGAAAAATGCTCGAAAATTTGGAACTTACAGATGCATCAAGTATAGTTTTGTCATGGATGATGGAATTGAGATGCGTACGTACCTTCGCTGCGTTCGAAATGGATTGCACGACTGGAGGCACAAGCGCCCCGGCCTGTTGTAGAGTTTCCACTATACGGGTGACGTTGCCGAGGCCATATCCGCCGTCACTTGGCCGGGTCTGTTGCCGGAGGAAGGCGTAGTTGAAGTCGTTGCCACCGATCTCCAGCATCACCAGTGAGCTCGCTAGCTTCCTTCGGATCTCTGCTATATGCATGGATCGGATCACAGGAATTGTTGAGGGATGTGATGTGACGCATGCAAACCGTTACTACAACACAACAGCTTATTTTACTGTTATTAATATAAAGAGCTGATCAATGACGTGCCTTGACTAGAGTTCGTGGCGGAGGCCATGAAGTCCTTGAACCACTGGAGCTGGACGTCGAGGGAGCTGTTGGTGAGGGAGAAGGTGACCCCTCTCTCGGCGAGCGTCGTCGTGTCGAGGGCGGTGGCTCCGGCGACCGCGAAGTTCACGCCGTGCGTGAAGTCCGCCGCCTTGTCGAGGTACGGTTCGAAGAGTGCGACTGTAATGCGATGCACTGCACGCTAGTTCGTTCGTCTGCATTTTTGCGATGCACTGCACGCTTGAAATGCAACTCCATGGACGTATCATTAATTCCTTGATCGCCGGTCGCGCGTCGCGTCAATCTTGGGATACTCGGGTTGTCGATATGCTGGGCGGGAGTTGGCGAGTGGAACACCGCGACGGCGCGACCTCGTGGCGCATGCAGGCGGCGACACACCGGTGGCGCGCCGGCCGGGCCTCGTAGCGGTGGCGCCGAGTGGCGGGTGGCGGGGGAGACCGGAGAATCAAGACTTGCAAGGGCCAGAGCCGTAAATTTGGACATGCCGGCCTCGCCCTCGGTGCAACAAGAAGTCAAGCACGGACGAACGAAGCCTGCAGGTGTCGCCCATCCTTGCCCAGTAAAATTGTCCTTCGGACGACTGCCTGCGTTGGATGGAGCCTCAAGCCTACGTACCTACGTGGTGATCAGTTTTTTGCTTGAAACCACAGCTTTTATGAACCACGTTGGGCCTGCTCTAAAATGATCCTTTGAACGAAGCACGCTGCGACTGCGTGTTCCTTTGCCGTCTTGTATCTCTTTTCATCACTATGATGTTGCTTTATACTCTCTTCCACCCTTCTCAAAAATATCATCTAGATTTACGTGCATATCAAACTTTTTAAGTTTAACAAAATTTATAAAAAATATTAGTAACACTCCGAATAAGAGTACTATAAAAATATATTTAACTAGCAGGAACCCCCGCGCAGCTGCGCGGGCTAGCAAGCAAAAAAAATGGAGCATGAGAAGGTACCGGTAACATAGGAAACTGCTGTAGATTTCGCAAACAACGCAAAAAGCACAATGAAGAATAAGCACTGAGTAAAAAATGGGCCAGATAAATATATGTGCACGTCTTCATAAAGCATAGAGGCCGGTAAGCAGCAAGTGGGCAGTAGGAGATTTTGTAAAGCATAATAATATTATTAAAGTTAACAAAGATGCCAGAAGCAGGGAAAGCATTGACAGGAACAACTTACGATCTGTGAGAGCTATTGGGTACGAAAACAAACTACTTCAGTTAGACAATTGTAGGCTACACATATAAGATGGGGGAAAATACCAAAAATAGTTCCAACTATCTCCTATGTTTCCATGAGTATTTGTTCGAAAAGCTAGGACAGCCTTTCGTCTGTTCGTCTTTGAGCAGCAGTTCTTAATCGTGACAAATCTGTCATAAAGAGATAACAGAAATGATCAATCTGGCGGCATAGTTTTGGTGAGCGGAAATGGACGAATAGAGAAAAAAAACAACTGAGGATATGAAAGGTGGGCTACAACATGGAATGCTTATGCATGTCATTGCTTTTTTTAATGGACTGCTATGGTACAGCAAACCTTCATTGTGCACGTAGGTAACCAATGAGGTACTCGTGTATACTTATATTAACAAACATGCAATCTTTGTGTGTTTCACCAAGTAAGTACACCCATCACAGCAGAGTTAAGTTTGTCGTATCTCAAATCTAAAGAATTGGTAATGCTTTAAAATCTAGGTTGACAGATGAGTATGTAAACGGTGACGCTATAGGCAGAAAAATTCGCCGCACCATCAATGCACCAAGAGTCTGCATTGGAGAGGAAAGGTACTGAAAGAATCACCTGGAGCCTGGAGGCAATATAAGCCGGTGCGTAACAGGTCGGTGCGATGGGAGGCGAGATTCTGAAATATAGAGCTTCGTGAATGAGAAGGTGGCAAGGCTGAGGTATCACTTGCTGACAGTTCACCGCTGCTGGTGCGTACATCACAAACCCAAACCATTTGGTTTGCCGATGAGTACCAAAATTGTGACACCATAGACAGACACCATCAATGCACAACTATCAGTGTTGAACAGATACAGTGAGTTAAATAAAGAATTAAATGTATGATGCATCATGCATGGAAAAGTAATGATTTGGGAGCAAACATGTAGTCAACTAAGCAAACTGTCATTGTAACAGTGCAGATACAACTAAGATGTGACCATTCAAATAATTTTGTCTTGCACAGTGGGTTACAGAAACTCACTACTTTAGAAAATAATCTGTCTATGCGAAGCAAAGATAAACAGAAGGAAAAGAGTGCCATGATTGTAGAATTCCCAGCCTGATGAAAACATAATATGGGACACATTCTAAGGACAGGAACACATTCTAAGAACAAATACATGTATAACGGTTAATATCCTGATTTGTTTGGTAGTCCATTGATGAAACAAAAACTGAAAAATGCATCGAAACATTGTTAAGTACGGCTATACGTCGTTTCGTATTAAGGATTTCCTGAATAGTGCCTGCTTGTTAACACAAACATGGAGCGGGTTGAATAAACCTAGGGAAAGAAAAAATTGCTTAACTCTAATCTGTATGGAAAAAAGGTGAACCCATGAACATGACGAAGCATGTGAACTGTGATTAGCGTGGAATAACCCAAGTTGGAAGCAGTTGCAATAGTACATCGATTGAAGCATCATGAATCATTACCACTCAGTTTATTGAGCTTCTCAATGGATCCATTCGGTAGAGCATCCTGACATCCTGTTATGTATTCCCAAATTAATTTGGCAGCCTGAAAAATGAAATACATACCAAGCAAATCAACGAGGAAACCACGAAAAATATGTAAGGGCTAATTGCACACTGAGGCACTGAAAGTTCGGCTGCGCAGGTAACGTACAGTAGGCACCCAATGATTGGAAGGAGTAACATATGCATGCCTGGAAGCAGTGAGTGAGAGAACAAAGTAATGCTCCAGTGCAAATCAAGTAGATCATTCTGCCTATGATAGATAAACCACTGAAGACCTAGCTGTAAAAAATAAGAAATAAATATAGATAAAATCTTTCTGTCTATGATAGATAACCACAAAGACATAGTTCCAAATAAATAGTAATAATAGACGGAATTTAAAATATTATGTTCAATTGTTGTCCAGAACATATAAAGAAGTGTGCACATTAGGATTCAGGAACTAACAGGGGGGCAAAGGTAACAGATGAGCCAAAAAAATGCAACATGAATGAATCTTTAGCCATCAGCTTATCATTCAGAGGGAGGAAAAGAGAGAAGGGGCCCACATGGTCGCCTCCGCTGCTGAGGCCTGGGTGACGTCTCCGACCCTTTTTGTGAGGACGCAATCATCCTGCGTCAATAAAGATGGACAACGAAGGGTGGGGAAACTGGCAAAGGAAAGCCAAAAAAAGAGAGAGATAACGGGCATCATCCTTTGGCATGCTGCGATGAAGGCGGCGTTGGTGACGGTGACCCGACGACACGGACACAGAGGTGCGAGCAAGGGAGAGACGGTAGTACCTGGATCTGGTCGCGCTGGAGGCCTCGCCTGCTCCATTTTGCCCGCACCGAGGCTAGCGTGGCAGCGCGCCACAGCGTCGGGCCAGCAGAGCCGGGAAGAGGGAGGGGTGGAGCGCGCGGCGCTGCGAAAGGCGGACCACGTCGCGAATCGGAGCCGGCGAGGGTGGAGCAGCTGCCTCCACCCCTCACCTGGATCGCCTGGACGCCGTACATGGAATTCCTTGTGCGCCATAAAAAAAAAAAATCGTAATCTGCTGTGTGTGTCGCAGAAAAGTTCAACGGTCTTGCACGTCACCGCTCTAATGCTTTTATATGTCCTCCATGCCATCGCTCGCCGCCTCTAACGCCGTCAAATCTGCAGTGTGAAAAAAGGCAAAATACCTTAAATTTAAATATGTCATTAATTTTTGAGCATCTTATCGACTTTAAATGAAAAACTTAAAACTAAAAATTTGTAGATCTCGTCGAGGTCTATAATTTTCATATAAAAATATCTTCATTTAATTCCAAAAAATATATGATTTTTCTAAGATATATTAATCATATCAAATCATATTTTTTTTTGCGGAATTAAATGAAGATAATTTTTATATGAAAATTATAGATCTGGACGAGATCTACAACTTTCTAGTTTTGAGTTTTTTCATTTGAAGTCGTTAAGATGCTCAAAAAATAATGACATATTTACACTTAAGGGTATTTTCGCCTTTTCACACTGGGTAGCTTGACGGCGCTTGAAGCCCAAACCGATTTAAGCTGGCATGAAACACAAAAAGTTATAGCAAGCATGCCAAGAAGACCTTGAACTTTTTAGGGCACATAGAGCATTACGATCTTTTTTAATGGCACACAAGAAATTCTCCCTTTTTTCCCATAGGTGGGGCACGGGTTAGAGCTAAGAAGAGTACGGGAGAGGGTGGGAAGGTGATAGAGGACAGGGGGAAGCGTCGGATGGGAGACAGGTGGGATCGTGCGGCCAAAAGAACGTCGACGTGGCTGAACGAGGGGTCAGTAAATGGTGTTGAGAAACAAGGGTAACAGTAGATGATCAATCTAACGATACTTATTACGTACCCTAAATATTAGTAATTTTTCGTATATATATTTGATCAATGTTGAGTATCGTTTGTAAGAATGATGTTTAAAAAGGGACTGAGGGAGTAGGTCGTATATCGTGTTATTGGCTAACGAAAAATTGCCCTATGACAATATATCGTTGAAACAAGGTTCACTCATGTAAAGGAAACACCAGGAAATGCAGAGTGCATCCTCAAAACATAGAACTAGCATACACGGCACAAAGCTAGAGCAGGGGTGGATCGGAGGCAGACACTAAAGGCACGGGAGACTAGTGATAATGATACAATTAGGTCTGTCCGGACGACTCACTCCGCACGCTCCGCTCACTCCTGCCCGCGCTGCTCACTCCCGCCCAAGCCATGATGCACTGAAAATACGTGTTGCAAACGTATGTTCCAATTGTTTTCGAGATGTTTCAGAGATATGTTGCAAGTGTTTCATTTGGATGTTGCAAAGATAGATCCAGATGTTGCACATATTGCAATAGCTATACTCGTATGTTGCAAGAGCTTGTTTAAAATATTTCATCTGTTTCAGACGTATATTACAAGTGTTTTTATCTGGATGTTGCATATTTTGCAATGGCTATGTTACAAGTTGAAAGCCATAGTTTGGTTTTGGATAATTAATGAAACCTTAGGCCCTGTTTGGGTGTTGTTGTTTCTTAAAACTCTGGTATTACGAAACCACAGTTTAAAAAACGTAGGTATGTAATACCATAGTATTTAGAAAACCGCAGTCTTTCTCGGTTTAAGAAAAGCCATGACGTGTTTAGCTACACAGCGATATGTTGCTTTTAAGATTAGTTGGTTGTGTCTATGCTGCTAAAAATAGCATGTATCTCTAAAAATAGCCGTGAAAAAGAGACGCGCCATCAGAGATGGACGCGTCACCAAGCTCTGTCAAAAATAAAGAGGGTTGGGACCAAGTTTTTTAGATTCCAAAAAAACTGTGGTTTTATTAATACCGTGGTTTCTAAAACTCCAAATTAATAACATCCAAACACCTTTCTTTTAGATACCTAGGTATTTTAAAAAACTATGGTATTAATCTAAAACTCTAAAAAACTTTGTATCTAAATAGGGCCTTAGTGTACTAATAATTGCTCTAAGTGTATATGGGATAGGATTGGTACATGCAGCTAGATGATAGTGTCCATGGTGATGGAGATGGACAAATGATGGATCAAGTGCTCCAACTTGAAAAAGAAGAAAGAGAAAAACAAAAATAGACTCAAGGCAAATGTATATTTGATAGGGTCATTTTTGTTTCGCCAAACAAGATATCATAGAGGGTGTGTTTGGATTTACGATAGATAATCGTACTATAAAGAGGAAAATCTTTAATTACAATGGTTATCTAGTGCCACTAAGTATGAGTCTCGTTTACATATACCTTGTGCTTAGTGGCGTGGTGAGATGTATGAGAAAAGTCCGAGAAAATTCCCGGTGAAAAGCTATCTCAAGTGTTAAAATTAGTTTGGTGATTTTGGGAAGAGAGAGCACTTCTTTGGGCATGTCGTGGAGTCTGAACGAGAAATTCCAGCTCACTGGACTTAAATTGCTTGGAAGGGGTTCTCGGTTGGCCTATTTAATTGGAATTTTATCCGGCCCGAGCTGAAATTTACAAAGGAGAAGAAGAGCGCTGGGTGATGGGCTATCCAGTCGCGTGGGCCTCTGGCCGCATGGGCCACCTGCTCTCGCTGGCCCAGGAGGTGGACGGTCCCAGCCGGTCAGCTGGGCCGGCCCGTCGAGCGAGCGGCGGCCGCGTTGACCACGCGGTGCAGGAGCGCGGGTCTGCGCGTACCCGCGTGGTGTGCGGGGCCCTCGCCTGGTTTTTGCCGCTCCACCGGTTGGACAGAAGGGAGCTGGTGGGACGAGCACGTCAGGGATACAGAGAGAGTTGAGCGTGGTGCTGTTTCTGCTGCATGCGAGCACACGGAGAGAGAGGGACCGCAGGAGCGCCAGTGACTCAGTGAGGGAGTGGTGTCAGCCGCTCGGCTGCATGCGTGTCGACCGCTCGTTGGTGCTAGAAGCCGCGTGGGAGGCTGAATGCTACATACGCTCGTTGACTAAGTAGGAGGCGTGCGCGGTGATTGGCCTGGAGCCATTGGGCCGCTGTTCTACCACAGGATGCAGGGGTGCGTTGTCGACCAGAGAGTGGATGCGCGTGGTGCCTCGCGGGACCCGCGTGTCAGCTGCTGGGAGATCGCCATTTGTGACCGTTAGGCCTTCTGCAGTGTGGTCAGAGAGTGATGCCCAAAAGAGGAGAGAGAGTGTTTGGGCATCACTCCCAACACTGCAACAAGTGGTGCTTGTTTTGATTGGGGCCAGAAAAGTTGGAAGCGGTGAATCTTCATTCACCCGGTGCCAAAACATAAATAATAATTGTTCACTGTAGCGCTGTCAGAACAGTTACAAAGCCGTTGGCACACAGACCTTCACAAGGCCGTTGGCCACACACGCACACAGACCTTCGAAGTTCAAAACACATAGACGCTGGGCACACAGGCCTTCAATATTCAACGTTCACATGGACTGGCACACAGGCCTTGAAGTAAACATGACCGTTGTCAAATATCTATAAATACAAGTAACTACCTGTACATGAACACATAGATCTCTCTCTATTCCCTCCCTCTGTAGCCATGGAGAACACAGCTTCATCTCTGACAAATATTTTGAACTCTGCAATACAAAGTGGTGAGCCACAAAATCCAAGTGGTGAGCCACAAAATCTAGCTAGGCAGCAACATCATTTTCCTTCACCCCAATACCCCATGAACTATCCACCACAATTTCCTACCCCTTTCCACCCCCAGTATTCACACATGTTCGGTCCCTTTGGATCCCAAACAAACTACCCACAATTCCCATTCCCATCACAAGGAAGCTACCAAGGTACCTCTTACCAAGGGATGGAACAATACCCACAAGGGGTTGGTCATGCATCACAAGTTGGATCCATGGGTTTCTTCCAAGGTTTCCGAGGGGCTAATTCACGGGTTGATGAGAGCAGCCCCATTGGTTCATCTTCTCCAGTGTCCCAAGAGCAACAACAGACTGGTGTTCCTCCTGCAAACACACCAGCTTTGGAGTGACAATGAAAGCGACCACGAAGAAAGTGAAAAGAAGGAAGGTCGTTTGTTCTGAGTCCTGAGGACAACCTTGATTAGTTAGTGCTTGGTGAAACATTCCAATCGATCCAATTGTTGGAATTGATAGAAGAGGAGATAGGTAATCTTGGAAGGATGTTGCAAAGCAGAGTACAATTTGACTGCACCAAAAGATCGAAGAAAAACAGTGCTCAATTGAAAAATCATTGGACCAAGACTATCCTTTCATTACCATTTTCAATTCATGCTATGAAAAGGAGAAGAGAGACCATGCTAGTGGTGAATCCGATGATCAAGTTATGGAAAGGGCTCGTCTTTAGCGTATAAAGTAGCCGCCAAGAAAAAAAAGAGGCCTTTTGCACTTGAATATTGGTGGAAAGCGGTGAAGGATCAACCAAAGTGGAGTAAAGCTTACCCAATTGAAGAAATGATGAACAAGAGAAGCAAGGTAAATGCATCAGGTGCTTATACTTCTTCAAATCAAGATAGTGAAGATATAGATCCTGTCATTAGGTGTCGACCTCCAGGACGAAATGCAGCCAAAGCTCAACAAAAAGGCAAAGGCAAGTCAAGATACCACAAGACAAAGATCTCAAATGAAAATGCGAATCTGTTCAATGAACTTCAGCTGAGAAAAAACTATTGTCATTGAAAAACTAGTCAAGCAACACTTATTAAAGTGAAGCTATTAAAGCTAAAAGTCAAGTTTGAAAATAAGATTGCGATACAATGAGAAGGAAAAGGCAAAGCTACGACATTGGGTATGTACATGGCCCTGTTAGATAAAGACACTTCAAGCTACGATGAAGAAGCCATGGAAAGGCACAAAAAAATGTTGGCATACTTATCTGAAAAGCTTTTTAGTTGAGGCTATGTAGCAATGTAATACCTTTCTAAATTCAGGATATGTAGCAATGTATTAGCTTTTTTTCAAATATTTTGTGCTATCTATGTACAAGACTTGTAAGTTTCAATGTGCTACCTTGTATCAATGAATTAACTTGTTTGTTCTGCATGCACTATTGCCATATATTGCCCAGTAACAAACAAGATACAAATACATCACACATCGTAGATAAAAATAGCTAGCCAAAATTAATACAAAAGAAAGAATAGTTGTTCTAACAATACATATAGATGTTGTAGAAAAGAAAAGTGGGTCCTCGACAATAGATCATTTGTAAAAAGGACAGTTGGTCTGACAATGTGGTCATTGTAAAAGCAAAAGTTGGTCCGACAACTAATATAGTGTTGTAAAAACAACTGCTGTTGCAATGAACTAGCCGTTGAGCTCCTTGTATAAAATGAGGACCCCGCATTGCACCATGCATGACCATATCTTCCACTGCATACTTTGTCTTGCATCGAGCAAACCAACATCAAGATGAAGTTCCATGGACCCAAACATGTCCATGAAAATTGACAAAGAGTCTCGATAGTGAAGATGAAGTTGACCAATTCATTTGGGACTTCATGAATGATCCAAAGGAGGCTCAAATTGAGGCACAAATCGAGCTTCGAGATAGAGTCACAACATATCGGTATGTCTACTCCAAACCAAAGGTTTCATAGAAGGTACATTGAAAGAGGGCGTGAAGGTGCTAGGGATCGTTTAATGTCTGATTACTTCTCGTAAAAATCCAAAGATACAATGATTTCCAATTTAGACGGAGGTATAGGATGAAGCGACACTGCTTTACGAAAATTGTGCGGACTTTAGTGAGTGGTCTCCTTATTTTGTCCAACGGAGCGATGCATTTGGAAAGGTGGGCTTTTCACCTTTACACAAATGTACCGTTGCTATGAGGATGTTAGCATATGGAACACCTGCAGATTTGTGGGATGAAAATCTACGAATTGCTGAAAGTACAGTTATCGAGTGCATGAATACTTTCTGTAGAGGGATCATTGAGTGTTTTGGTCCTACATATTTAAGAAAACCAACTACAGAAGACATCCAAAGGTTACTTCATATAGGTGAAGCGCGTGGATTTCCAGGCATGCTGGGTAGTGTGGATTGCATGCATTGGCAATGGAGGAACTGTCCAGTGGCATGGAAGGGACAGTACACTCGTGGAGATCAATGTGGACCAACTGTCATGTTAGAGGCAGTTGCCTCACACGACCTGTGGATATGGCATGCATTTTTTGGTGTTGCTGGGTCAAACAATGATATCAATGTCCTTAATCGATCACCTTTGTTCACTGATGTGGTACAAGGAAGAGCTCCAGAGGTTCATTTCACAGTCAATGGCCATGAGTACAACATGGGATACTACCTAGCAGATGGTATTTATCCAGAGTGGGCAACATTTGTGAAAACAATTCATTTGCCTCAGTGTGGAAAAGACAAATTATTTGCAGAACATCAAGAGGGAGCAAGAAAAGATGTGGAGCGTGCCTTCGAGTTTTGCAAGCTCGATTTGCCATTCTCTGAAGCCCAAAGACGCATGTGGCAAGTGCGGTCACTCATTGAAATTATTTATGCATGTATTATATTGCATAATATGATTGTGGAGGATGAAAGGATTCTTTCAGAGTTCGATATGATGACAACTACGAGCATGAGTACCATGAAAGCAAATCATCTCGCACCATTGTTAGGATATGGACATGGGCCCATTCATGGATTTACTAGGGCTCTAGAGATACAAGAAGACATACGTGATCGAGATATGCATCGTCGTCTCAAGGCGGACTTGATTGAGCATATATTTTGGTAACTTTGGAGGCGCCAAGCTTAGATTTATTCTCTCTTATCAAAATGTTTGTACTAGTATATGTAGTTTTCATTAAATAATTGTGTTGTATGTATGAACTCTATCAGGGTCAAAGTGTACTAACTAAATGTACTATGTTACTTTACATTTCTATTGGTAATTCTTGTAAAAAATTCTATTGTAATCAAGCACACCATTTGGATTATGCTTTATGCATTCAAAAGTATTCATTTTTCTTGGTTCGCAATAAACAAAACAAAGCACAATCACTTGATGTCAAGATCTTTCGCGAGATAAAGTAGTACCGCAACATCACACGAATCAAGGCAAGCAAGACTGCGCGCCTTCCTCCTCCACTATGAAGCAAGGCAGCAGCAGAGTCTGCGTGCCTTCCTCCTCCAACCTCCGCCTGCAGCAGAGGCCTCACCAAGCTCCATCCGCCATGGCATTCACGCCCATGCGCTCGCTGCAAGCCTTCCTCAAGCGCTGCACCGCGGGCGTCGTCCCCCTGCTGCTCGGCGGCTGCGCCAGACAAAGGGCGCTCCTCTACACGCCCTCCACCTCCGCGTTCAGGCCTCCGGGCGCCAGATCCGGGCTGCGCCGGGTGGTTCATTGCTACGCCGCTTCGCCGGCGGCGCCCACGCCCATCGCTCTGCGGCAAGGTACGCAGCGGGCTTCGTAGCTCGATCGGCCCCGACGGCGCCGCCGACCAGATCGGCACGCTCGCGCCTCTGGAGAAGCTGGATTTGGAAGAGCATGGTTGGATTTGAGGGAGATCCATGGCACGAATTGGGAGATCGAGAACGGGAGAAAGGGAATTTTCCATCGCGCGAACGAAGAAGGCAACGAGAGTATTTTATTGAACTGGGTCCCAACCGTAGCAGATTTCAAGATCGCTCCCAAAAATTTTCCACACTACATACCGAGTGGGCGGTGCCCATTCTTGTATAACGGGCCCATTTATTTTGGGGCACCGCTCCCACACTACAGACGGCCTTACGCAGAGAATTGGAGGCCAGGGCCAGCTGCCCTATAGCCGTTGGGCTGGGCCTGGGCGCCTGTGCTGCCGTGCCTGAGTCTGGTGTTGGGCGCTGGAGGGGATAAGGGGTCCTCTTCCCTCCCTCTTCTTCCCTCTCTTCTCTATTCTTCCAACTCAAGAATCCTATGAGAAAAACAAAGCTCTCTCTTCTCCTCTCTCACTCCCAAGAATTTGTACTCCAATCAAGTGAGAGATAGAGCTCTAGTGTTGATCTTGAGAGCTTCAAGAGCATCTCCTCCCTCTCATCTCCCTCTCCTAGCTTGTTGCTCATTTGAGAGAGGATTTGGGGAAACCCCTAGTGTGTAGTGCATCTGTGATTGCATATTTGGTGGCATTAGGTGGTGATATCAATTATGAATTTCTTGTTACTCTTGTTGATTGCCGTTACCTAGACGGTTAGTGATTTATTGATTGGTGAGGGGATTTGATGATTGTGTCCGTCCCCAATCAAGGATTATATTTGGGAGGGTTTTTGGGCGTATTCCATGGCGGAGCGCCAAAAGCCACTCTAGTGAATTATGTATAGCTTGTGGATCTCCATCTTATGTTGGTTGTGCAGCACCCTCTAACACCTCTGGTGTTATGAGCTCGTTTAGCACCGAGATTTAGGCCTAAGAAAAATTTCCGAAACGAATTTTTCGGATTTTTGATTTAGAACGTATTTGAAGTGACAAGTGAATCCCGTATGACTCAGTTTTGTGGACTCAAATGAACGCCCAAGTTAAATTACTCAGAGCGTAAAGATATTTAGGAATGTCTGACAACAATTCTATCAAATAGATAGCGAACGGTTTGTTTTATTAGATTAAGTATGAAAATCAATCTTTATAAACAAAATAAAATATAACTTGTATTTAGTACTTGAATAAATCTGGAGCGCAAGTTTAATAGATGAAAATATAACTCTTGTTTTGGTGAGTAAAAGTTATTCAATAGTATATATGATAGCTCAGAAATCGAATCCGAGATTTAAACTAAAACTTTTCGTGAGTCAGCGAGAAATTGGATTTACGTTCGAAAGGTCAATTTTGGTACATTATGTTGAGCGAAATAGTTCTATAGTGCTTAAGTATTTCGCTCCTATGGGTTAGTATGCAGTATGGGCTAGGTCATAATATACTTGTTAGTAGAAATCGATAGGGTTTAGACCTTTTAGAAATTATTGCAAAAAGCGCTAGTGGATGTTAGTTCAAAACTAAAAGTTATAATTTTCTGAGTCGGAAACG